TGTAATCCCAGCTACTCAGGAGGCTGAGGCAGGAGAATTGCTTGAACCCAGGAGGCGGAGGTTGCGGTGAGCCGAGATCGCGCCATTGCACTCCAGACTGGGTAACAAGAGCGAAACTCCGTCTCAAAAACAAAACAAAACAAAAAACAAAACAAAACAAAAAAGAAATAGAAAATCTAATTGTTCTTACAATTATAATTTCAGAACGAGAAGTCAGCATTTTGTCTTATGGGGGTAAAGCTCCCTCAAATTCAATGAAATTAATTTACTGTTCTCCAAAGGAAAAAAGCCGGTGAAATTCTGTTGAGCAATGATCATGAAAACTGATAGTCTTCAGTCTTCGCAAATCAATGTTAATCGTATTATCTGGTTTCATGTGTAGTGTGTGCCCTTGTGGGCACACTGTTGTTTGCCAGAATAATTTGGGATTCCAATTTTATACCCTTTTGGGTAGTTTATGTTTTTTTTTTTTTTAATGAGTATATTTATCCTTCCTTAAGAAAAACAGATCAGTCTGCAGTATAATTGAATTCCTCTTAACTTTTTGTAAGCATTTTCCTTAACTTGCCTTTATTTGTTGGTAGGGATAATTTGAAGAGAAGAACATTTTAAATTCTCTGAGTTTAAGCAAACAATAATTTTAAGCTGACATGTGTGGCCATGAAGCAATAGGATGAAAACAGCTCATTTGTTGGCAAAAGAAATCAGTTTATGAATCTTGTGGAGAAAGACATTACTATAGATCCTCAAAAAAGTATAATGTACAGGTGAATGTTCCCAACCCCAGATTTTTAACCAAGAGAAGCAAAAGTAAAGAGTGCAGAAAACTGACCTGATAGAGTTATGTAAATTCCTTCTTAAACTACAGGTGCCCTTCTGGGGATTTAATAAAAATGCTTAATAATAGGAATTCATGTTTACTGATTCTGACTCTACCTCAGTGTTTAGCTATTCTCTTTGTAACTGTAAAATTAATTTAGTTTTATGCCTTTGTTTTTCTGAGTAGCTATTTAAAAACAATAGACTTTCTTAGAGCATTTTAAGATTCAAAATAAAATTGAGAGAAAGGTACAGAGATTTCCCATGTACCCTCTTCTTCTAGCCTGTGCACAGCTTCCCCATTATCTGTCAATGTCCTCCACCAAGATGGCATATTTTTTAGAATTGATGAACCTCCATTGACACATCATTATTACCCAAAGACTGTAATTTATGTTTGGGTTCATTCTTGGTGTTGTACATTTTATAGGGTTAGACAAATATATAATGACACGTGTCCACCATTATAGCATACGGACTAGTTTCACCACCTAAAAATCCTCAGTGCTCTGCTTATTTATCTTCCCACCCCCTTAACCTCTGATCTTTTTACTATTTCCATCGTTTTGCATTTTCCAGAATATTAGATAATTTGAGTCATATATTATGTATCCTTTTCAGATTGGTTTCTTTCACTTAGCAGTAACCATTTGTAAGTTTCCTCCATGTGTTTTCATGGCTTGATGGTATTTCATTTTAGTGTTGAATAAGATTCCCTTGTCTAGATGTACCATAGTTGTTTTATCTATTCATTTACCGAAGGATGACTTGATAATTGCACATAAAGCTTCTTTAAACTTTCATGTTCAGGTTTTTGTGTGGACATACGTTTTCACCTCCTTTGGCTGAATACCAAGGAGCATGATTGTTAGCCAGATTGTGTAGTAAGATTACGTTTAGTTTTGTAAGAAACTGCCAAACTATCTTCCAAAGTGGCAATATCATTTTGCATTCCCATAAGCAGAGTGAGAATTCTCGTTGCTCCTCATCTTTGCCAGCATTTGGTTTTGTGAGTGTTGAGGATTTTAGCCATGCTAATAGGTGGGTAGCGGTATTTCATTGTTGGTTTTATTTTTCAATTTCAAAAGTGCTACTAGTGATACAGAAGGATAGAGGAAAAAGGAAACTCTGTAGCCCCAGGTAACTCCTCATCCTTAAGAGTTAGTGGTTTGATATGTATCTTTCTAGATGTTTTTTTCTTTATATGTAAGAACGTAGAAAGTCTAAGGATAAGCTTAAGAAATAAAAACAGATTATTTCAATTGCCTTTGATATAAAAAATTTAAAATATAAGAAAATACCTGGCAGTCCAGACAAATTTTTAAAGAAGTTAAAGGTAACTTTTTTGAACCATTAATATATTTATCAGATGTACAATTATCAAAGATTTTAAAAAGTATATAATGAGAACAGTAGGTCTTATCCCAGTCAACTGTCTTCTCCAATCCTCATTATTCTATCATTTGTTTTTTTCTGGAGGTAGTGGCAGGATGTGTGTGTGTATGTGTATGTGTATGTGTTTGTGTTTGTGTGTGTGTGTATGATATATATATGCTTAAGTAAGAAATTCATGAATATAGGCCAGGCACAGTGGCTCACATCTGTAATCTCAGCACTTTGGGAGGTTGTTGTGGTTTGACTGTTTCCCCACCCAAATCTCATCTTTAATTGGAGCTCCCATAATTCCCATGTGTTGTGGGAGGGACCTGGTGTGAGATAACTGAATCACGGGGTGGTTTTTCCCATACTGTTCTCGTGGTAGTGAAAAAGTCTCACAGTATTTGATGGTTTTATAAGGGTTTTCTTCTTCCACTTGACTCTCATTTTCTCTCTGGCGTGCCGCCACTTAAGATGTGGCTTTTGCCTTCCACCATGATTGTGAAGCCTCTCCAGCCACATGGAACTGTGAGTCCATTAAGCCTCTTTTTCTTTACAAATTACCTGGTCTTGGATATGTCTTTATCAAGCAGCGTGAGAACAGACTAATACAGTGGCTGAGATGGGTGGATCACTTGAGGCCAGGAGTTTGAGACCAGCCTAGCCATCATGGTGAAACCCTGCCTGTCCTAAAAATACAAAAAAATTAGCTGGGTGTGTTGGCACGTACCTGCAATCCTAGCTTCTTGGGAGGTTAAGGCACGGGAATCGCTTCAACCCAGAAAGCAGAGGTTGCAGTGAGCTGAGAATGTGCCACTGCACTCCAGCCTGAGCAACAGAGCAAGACTCTGTTTAAAAAAAAAAAAAAAAAAAAAAGAAAGAAATACATGAATATATATATGTATAATATACTGTATATTGAATATTTTATAAATTATATGCATATATATCATGCTATATAAATATGTTCACATTTTATGTGTGTATAAGTATATATGTATTTCTTACACAGAAATGATAATATATACACAAATTTGCCTCTTGCTTTTTGTCACTGATGGTACACTTTGATTCAATATAAATCAAAGCTTGATTCACGAAGTTCTGAGTCTTTTTTCAGGGTTATTTATTTTTAGAAATAAGGAAACACAAATGAACTGGTTTGTCCATAGAGAGGAAAGCCAGGAAGTATAAAATGCCATTAGTTACCTGATAATCATCGTTTTACCAGGCAAAGAGAAGACAGTTTTCGGGAAAGCATATGGAATATGGCTCTTGATGGAACTACGTGCCACTCGAAGGATACACGTGGATAACCCATAGGGATGATTCACTACCAGTGCAGCTGTAAACTTCTCTTTTAATTAGGTAGGAAGCACCTGTGTGCTATTACTTCATCATTTTTCCTCTTCCCAGTCCAGTCTCTTCAGGGATTAAAAAAAAAAAAGGAAAGAAAAAGACCCAAACAAGTTGGAATTTAAATTTTCTGTAGGAGAAAGCAGTCAGTGTCTAAAAAGGGGCAAGTGTGCAGATCATCTGCTGGAAGACAAGGTGAGAAGAGTAATTTGAACGGGTGTGAATTTTGGAGGGCAAACAACTGTGCACATTGCAAGGTGTTTGGCATGGAGAGCTGTATTAGCATCCTGTTGGTGTTTGGATTTACACTTCTGAATTGAGTGTTTAAAAATATTTAACAGAATTAACGCTAAATGTGTACAAGCTGCTGTTCAAATGTGAACAGTACTAGCATTTTTATCTCCTCTGGGCTCTGAACATTACCATGAGATGGCACCAGCATCCTTTCATGACTTCTCTCTGGCAGGATGCTAAGAGAGACTGGTCACACGATTAGCAGTTTCTTTCACGGGACTGATCAACATCATTTACCACACAATTTACCTGAGATTGACTTTATCCTCACGTGAATTGTTCTAAATGCATTATAATACTAGCCTAAATATACTTTGTAATAAAGATTATTAACCGTCATTTATTGAGTGCCTACTACATGCTGAGAGCTTCACAAATTTATTCCTGTGTAACTTTCACTACTACCCCAAGGAACTGGTAATATCTTCATTTTATAGATGGGGATGTTGATGCTTAGAAAGCTAACATACCTTACCCCAGGTCACACAGCAGGTTACTAAGGCATTGAACTCAGTTGTACAGTGCTGAAACGCTTTGTATGTGTACATATACCCTGCAAGTATCCATCTACCATAGAAAATGTGTTTGACACATTTGGGTTGACACTGTTTTCAACTTTGTGATTAGTAAATTTAATAGGCTCATTAGGCATTTGTCAAACATTAGTCTCAAATCCTCTTAAGGATAGGGACCCTCCTGGAGTTCTCAATTTGGTAGCCTGTGGGCTGAATTTGGACTACACCTGCTCTGTTTTTTCTGAGGGGAGCCAGAGTCAGCACTATGTTTTAATTGAATTGAGCATGAATGCCTTGAGGGTTGGTTTGAACTCTCAGGTTTCCCCTTGGTCTTTGCAATTCTCTACTTTCTCAGGCCTTATCTGCTTCACTAGTTAAGGTTATTTGCATGGCCCCTGATGGCATTTGAATTTGTGATAGCAGAAACCATTAAACCAGGAAGTATTCCTGTTGGAATGTGTTAGTTTATGGGTTCAGATTAATTAGTTAACAGATCGATCCTTGATCTGAAATAAATATTGCTGGATTTACATTGCTCAATGTGCAACAGAGAGTTGACTTTTTTCAGGCTTTTCACAGAAGGCCCTCTGTTGGTAGAAGTCCCTGCCAGGTTTATGCTGGCTGAATATGTCTGCTGACCTGTGGTTGTAGTCATATGGTGCATTTCCTGAAGACTGATGTTTGGTTGATTATAATATGCCCTGAGGTGATTTTGATAATGAAGCTAAATCTAATGGAGAAAACATGAAAGCAAATTAGTTGTTAGTAAGCATTAAGGGAGAAAGGAGGGTCTAAGATCCTTTCCCCCTCCCTTTGCCTCTTCCTTCCTAATTGACTTTCTGGCTCTAAAGCAACGGATTTCCGGCTCCATGTGAGTGTTTTCTAAGTTACCAATAATATTCAGGAGTGTTAAGAACCTTTGAATTGAAGATAAAGACCTTGGGATACACAGACAGTGGTAGAATTCCTCCATGATACTCTTTATTTACATTGCCTTAAAAAAATATGGTATGTTCTGAAGGAATTTCTTTTCCATGTATTTCCTCTGTTAACTGTCTTCTGCTGTGTTTTTGGTCTGCTTTCCATGAAACAGCTGCCTGAAGGATGCTCTGTCAAATAAGTTTGGGAAAATGCTTTTTATTCCAATACATCCTTAGGGATTTAAAAGACATCTCATGGTAAATGCTCCAAGCGATACTGTGTTTAAGGAACCTGTTTTGTGCAACGCAGCATTTCCCAAATTTAGTGAAATGACAGAACCTTTTCTGGAATCTCTCATTTCTGAACGCCACCTCCCCATTTTCCAAAACAACCTATACCTATTAGCTTTCTACAGGCCATACTTTGGGGTTGCCTCTCCCAAATTTAGGTAGAAATTACCTGAAAGCATTGAACCATATTTTGGATTTTCTGGGGGGTTAGACAGGAAGAATAATCCCAATTCCATCTAAGTGCAAGTTTGTCTAATATGAAAAAATGGTTATCAAAGAATTGAACTTCATGACTTAGAATTATTTATTTATTATTTATTATTATTTTTGTTTGTTTGTTTTGAGACAGACTCTCTGTTTCCCAGGCTGGAGTTCAGTGGTACAATCTCCACTCACTGCAACCTCTGCCTCCTGGGTTCAAGCAATTTTTGTGCCTCAGCCTCCCGAGTAGCTGAGATTACAAGTGCGCGCCACCATGCCTGGCTAATTTTTGTATTTTTAGTTTAGACGGGGTTTCACCACGTTGGCCATGCTGGTCTCAAACTCCTGACTTCAGTTGATCCTCCTGCCTTGCCTCCCAAACTGCCTCCCAAAGGCTTGAGCTGCCACTCCCAGCCCTTCATGGCTTGGTAGTATTTACAGATATCAGACTAAGTAAAAGTTTACTTTATTCTTCATGATGTCTGATAGATTGTTGGCTGATATAGGCGCTGTGTCTAGTTCTGCTGTCGTGACTTGTACCTAGTATAGCCATTTATAGTGTATTTGACAAACCTGTCCACTTGTATGTAGACTTGCTTGACCTCTTCTTGGCATATTTGTTAATGTCTTGTCAGAGTTGAAAAAATTTTTCATGTGTGCTTTCTTTTGATTCTCATAATAATCTTCTGAGGTAATTTAAAAACAATCTTATTTCCCCGTTTGATTAAGGAAACTGGTCCTAAGGGATTAAGTCACTTGCTCAGGGTCTCTTGGTGAGGTACTTTAGTGAATTTGGTTTTCCAGGTGGCGGTCTTTATTCCCCAAACGAATCCTACTTTGTATGTGACTTGAAAAACACTTTTCTGTTACCCGTATTTATTTGTCTAAGCCAAACATATACTTGTTTATTAGACAAAACAGGGAGCCCAAATAAAACCAGATGTGAGCTGCTTTTAACCATCCCCAAATCATAATGATCCATATGTGAATTATCTCCTTGTAGCTAGTTTTTTGTCCCAGACTGGGCTCTTGCAGTTTCTCAGCCTGCTGTTCAAGTCTCCCTGGCCCCTGACTTGGTTTTGTCAGAGCAGATTAGAGAGAAATTCTACAGTCTGAGAACACAATTTGTATGATTTAGGAAGCAGAACTCTGTTTTTTTTTTTTTTTTGTTTTTTTTTTAAGAGATCAGAGTTTTGTTTGTTTTCCATTTACCTGAAGTAATGCATTGTTTCATTTAAATCTAAATAGCTTTCAAGATTGGGTTCATGAACATGTCAGTGGGCAGAATTTCATATCTAGATCTGAGATGACAAAATATATATTCCTAAGACAGAATTGTTTTCATAACTACCTTTTCCCTTTCAAGTTCTATCATCATCAGTGATGGACAATTTAGGCTTTCAAGGGCACATTTGAATTTAAATCTTAGTTTGTCCACTTAGTAGTTGTAAATGCCCTTGGGCAAGTTAATCCCTTTGCCTTGGAGTGGTTATCCTCCAAATGGGGTAACCCCCACCTATATTGAGGAATTAAACACAGCAATGAATGGGAAGCCACTAAGCACAGTGCCTTACACAGAAACATTAATACTAAATAAAAAATTTGTATCACCTTCTAGGTACCAGGTTTGATGCTCGGAAATAATCCAATGGGCTACAAAAGTATGATTTGGTGATTTGGTTGGAGAAGCGGAGTAAATGAAAACAGTAAGAATATATAATAGACTTATATAAGTTTTGAAGAGACAGTGGTCATGCTGTTGGGGTGTGGCTTTGAAGGGCTTAAAAATAATCAGGGGTATTGAGTTTTGATCCCAAGGTTTAAGAATGACTTTAATAAGCATGTGAGTTAGGATTGGTCCTAAGTGGCAAAAGTCTACCCTGAATCCACTCTAAGCAGAAAAGGAATTTGTTGTAAACAAACAATAGATACATGGAGTAGTTTACAGGATCTGAGGAATACTTGAAAAATGGGATCAGAAAGGCTGATGCTGGGCAGCCCTGGGGCTGCTGGTGGAGGGACCTGAAGCCACATCTCCGTAGAGCGTTCCCCAGAGGATGATCCAACTCCAGCCCTTTTCAGTCTTTTTCTGCTTGAGATTCAAATTCCATGGACAGACATTCAAATGTCCCAGCTTGAGTAAAATGCCTAAACCAGCCCATTGAGATAAGCTATTTTTGTCTGACAAAACTGGATTGTTTCTCTCAGAAATGGGGAAAATAGATGTTGGATAGCAAAAGTCCACCATGTCTGAAAGAGGCCTGAAGGTAGACATCCATTTATTGTGTTGGATAGGTGATGAGCAGAGATTTAACTATTAGGTCAGGACCTTTGTGTCAGGAAGTAAATCGAAGAGGTATTTTGGGATTATGGCCTGACAGTGATGGGAAGCCACTGTAGATTTCTGATGGGGATTTGAGGGTCACTTGTTTTTACCTCAGGGTATTTTAAGTAAGTAGTTCTTTTTTTAAGATGGGATTTCACCATGTTGGTCAGGCTGGTCTTGAACTCCCGACCTCAGGTGATCTGCCCGCCTTGGCCTCCAAAGTGCTTGGATTACAGGCATGAGCCACCACGGCTGGCCTTCAAGTAGTTCTTTAATAAGCAGTAGTGACTCTTAGATGATCACTTTCCCAGCTATCTCATGGCCCCACGTCCCCCATCATGTAAGTATTTGGCATGGTGCTGCCCCAGCTACCACTTCCATTAGTATGTAAACAGGAAAGCCACTTGCAGTGGTGGCATACTTTATTGGTTGTTTTTCACTGATTGATTTTCAGGAGTGCTTGTTTTTCCTCTGGAATATGCATTCGAAAGACTTGTTATTGTCAACAATATGACATTGTATTTATGCTCATTTTTTAATGTATTTTCATTGTGAGAACTAGTGTACTTTTTCATGAGGGATAAAAAGATCTTTTTCCAATGTGAGATTCTCAGTTATATCGTTATATCTATCTCTTAACAAAAGTAGTCTGGAACTCTTTACTTTGGCAGCCCCAAATACTTAAACATGTTTATTGTTTTATATTCAGTTATTTAAGATAATATTATCCAAACGTAGACAAAAGGTTATGAGCTAGATCAGGGGTCCTCAACCTCCAAGTCGTCGACCGATGCTGGTCTATGGCCTGTTAGGAACTGGGCTGTGCACAGCAGGAGGTGAGCAGTGGGCAAGTGAGCATTACCACCTGAGCTCCGTCTCCTGTGAGATCAGTGGTGGCATTAGATTCTCATCAGAGTATGAACCCTGTTGTGAACTGCACATGTGAGGGATCTAGTTGCATTCTCCTTATGAGAATCTAATCTGAGGTGGAATGGTTTCTTCCCCAAACCATCCCCAAACCATCCCCCACCCCCAGCCTGTGAAAATACTGTCTTCCACCAAACTGGTCCATGGTGCCAAAAAGATTAGTGATCACTGGTGTAGATACTACTTCTGTTTGATGATCTTGCTTGGAATCCCTACATTCCTGAAATAAAGCTGGCAGCAGTTACTTTAAATTCTTTTCTTTGTAAATTTATAAAATTTTTTTGGGTTATAGGGTCTCAGTCTGTCACTCAGGCTGGAGTGCAGTGCTACGATCTCTGCTCACTGCAGCCTTGACCTTTTGGGCTGAAGTGATCCTCCTGCAACAGCCTTCTGAGTAGTTGAGATTATAGGTACCTACCACCACATTGGGCTAATTATTATTATTATTATTATTAATTTATTTAAAAAACTTTTTTTTAAAGCCAGTCAAATTTAGCAGTGGGGGTTATATGCCAAATTTAGTGACACTAATGTTAATAAGTTCTGATAACTCCTTACCATTGGACCAGCTGGGCTAATTATTATTTTTTGAGACAGGGTCTTGATTTGTCACCCAGGTTGGAAGGCAGTGGTGTGATCACAGCTCACTGCAGCTTCAACCTCCTGGGCTCAAGCAGTCCTCCCACCTTGGCCTCCCAAGTAACTGAGACTACTGGTGTGTGCCACAACGCCTAGCTAATTAAACAAATTTTTTTTGTAGAGACGGGTCTCACTTTGTTGCCCAGGCTGATCTTGAACTCCTGGGCTCAAGTGATCCTCCTGCCTCTGCCTTGCAAAGTGTTGAGGTTATAGGCATGAGCCACCATGCCCAAACTACATTAATTCCTTAAAGGTGGGCTATGGAAATAACGTAGATACTAGTACTTTAGTAATGGTGTTAGTACAGGAAGACAGAATTCATTTACTGGAATACATTTTGAGGGTAGTTTCGTGAAGCACTGTAAGCGAAGGCTTTTGGTAATGAGAATACTTGCTCATAGACACACCTTAACTTGATTACCAGTT